GGGCTTAAGTAATTCTCCTGCCTCAGCCTCCCAAGTAGTTGGGACTACAGGAGCCCACCACAATGCCTGGCTATTTTTTTTTGTTATCATTGTCACTGTTGTTTTAGCAGGCCCTGGCTGGGTTCAAACTCACCAGCCCTGGTGCATGTGGCCAGTGCCCTAACCACTGAACTATGAGCACTGATCCAAGATGGGCTCAGCACTCGCAGCACAGTGGTTTCGACGCCAGCCACATACACTAACAGTTGTGGGTTCAAACCCAGCCTGGGCCAGCTAAACAACGACAACTGCAACAAAAATAGCCAAGCGTTGTGGCAGGTGCCTGTAGTCCCAGCTACTTAGGAGACTGAGGCAAGAGAATCGCTTAAGCCCAAGAGTTTGAGGTTGCTGTGAGCTGTGACACAAGAGCATTCTACCAAAGGCAATGTAGTGAGACGCTCTCAAATAAATAAATAAATAAAAATTTATATATATATATATATGTCTTAATGGATAAAAAGCACTTAGAATAAGCACTATGTTCACAATAGCTCTTATTATGACTATGCTCTAGCTACTGGGGGAAATGTTCCCAGATACTAAAACACTCTCAGTCACTCCTGTCCGTATCAGCAAGAGAGTGTTAAGACCCAGTCTGAACTTGACCAACTAGCTCAAGGTCTCTGGCCTTTCTCACCTATCCAAGCCTGTCAGTGAAACTGTAGGATTCCCAGTCAAATCCAACCACACACCCCTTCCTAAGCAAGGGCCCCACTCTCTCCCTCCTCTGGAACCAGTTAGTCAAGAGACTATACTGGGCTTAGGACTCTAAGTGTCCCCATGCTGTATGACTGAAATAGCTGCCCCACAACCACACAGTGAAACCCACAACACTCATCTCCCACTTTTCTCCTCCTCCTCCCACCCACCTCCTTGGCCTGGGGATCCACCTCCTCCTCATTGAACCGTATCCTCCACCTGGGGAACTGCCTCTCCTGCCACAGGCCCCTACTCCCCTCAGGACCACCTTCACCACAAGTGCCCCACTGTATCCAAGGGTGAGTAGGATCACAGCACTTGTTAAATGCTGTAAGGTGCTTGGCACCAAGCTGAAGTTTTCCAGGCATCTATTTGCTCATCTAATGCTCAAGAGACCAAAAACAACAACCCTGAAATGATAACCTGTGAGACAGTGACAATTTTCCCTAGTGGTGCTGGTCCATGTGCAAGATGGTTTTGAAGGAGGGGCCTGATCTGTAGCATTTGCCATTTTCATGGTCTAAATATCCTAGTGTGCCTACTTTCAAGATGTAAACCTGATGTCCCTGAACACAGGCTTGGGAAGATGCACACAATTAGAGCCAATGTGAGCCAGCTCTGGCACACCCCCAGTGTCATTTTATAGTTGACAAAACTGGCTTGAGAAACTAAAGAATTTGCCATGGGCTCCACACACTTTGTCAGTGGCAGTTAAGGATCTCAGCCAGCTCTGACCCAAAGCCTACAGGCTTTGCTGTCTTCCAAGGAAAAGTATCAATTCCAAATTCCACCTAACCCAAAGGGGGACTGGTGTGTGACCTGGAAAAGGCCCTCCTCTGTGGGTCTCAGGTGCTTCGTCTGTAGGCTGTGGAATCAGAAGTTAAACCAGAAGAGTTGTAGAGCTCACATAGGCCCAGAGTTCTGAGACTGAGTGTCCACAAGAAGAGAATGGCTGAAGTCTAGAGCTATGGAGAATAAGGAACCCTAGACCAGGAGATTCTGCCAAATGAATTACCATCTGCTCAGAGCAAGAAACCTACAGAATGCTGAAAACCCTAAGACACTCCCCACCAGAATCTTGGAATGAAGCATGCTAACATAGGCAAGGTCTTTAAAGCTCAACACCACATTTTGTGACTTGCTAATTCCAATCTTGCCCTCACTCCCCAAGAGGGAGCCCACTCAATTTTAGAACAAAGGGAAGAAGAAACTCTACCGGCACTCCACACTGACCCACAGCATCCCACCCTCCCTACACAGATGCTCTGTCCTCAGAACAGAGTAGAACAGCAACTATCTGCCTTGGGAAAGCCATTACTGGGGAAGACATCACTAGGGAAGTCACTGGCCTGGATAAAACCACAGTCAGACAAAACCCAGGCCAGGCCTTAGCTACACTGCCTCTGAGTTGTGTGACCGTAAGCAACTTAAGTTTACTTTCTCTGAGCTTAGTCTCATCTGTAAAGTAAAATACTAGTTCTAACTGGATCACAGGGCTCCTTAACTGTCGGCAATATCAGAAGATCTAGTCCAGTGGTTCTCAACCTGTGGGTCATGACCCACAGGAGCTGTATTAAAGGGTCACGGCATTAGGAAGGTTGAGAACCACTGATCTAGTCTATATCCTGTCTCCACCACAACATGACTTTGGGCAAGTTCCCTCACCTCTCTGATCCACTGATTCCCTATCCACAAAACAGGGGTACAAAAAGCACCTACCTCTCAGGATTTTTGGAAGGACACAATAAATATAAACCGTCCTAGCTATCAATCTTAGCCAGCAACAAAAAGCTAGCACAGGAAGAGAGACTCACAGCCAGGGTTCCATCCTGCCCACAAACGCAAAATCAATCCCAAAGCATTTTCTGAAGGTCTGTTTGATGCAGAGTGCAGAAGGAGATGGAAGAGAGAAGAGTTCAAGGGGTCCCTGATTGCAGAACACAACACCTGCCTGGCACCAGATGCAAAAGTAAAAGAGAATGAACAACAGGCCAAAAAAAAATACCCTAGTTATCCCTCACCTTCTATTTCAAAAAGACAAAAAAATTCAGGAGGAAAAAAAGAGAATAGAAAACAGATGCAAACAGCTAGGATCCCACCTCCCAGATTTAACATAAATTCACATTTACTTTATTTACTTCAGATTCCTTTAAAAAAAATTTAAAAAGATATATCCAATCATCCCTCCCCTTTCTCCCCCCACCCCAAGCAATAGTTCCTCTAACTTCAGTGTTTCTTACCTCTTATTACAATTTGTCCTCTTATTATGTATCTGTAAACAACACACAGAAGTCACCTTTGGTACCTTTTTTAGTTTTTTGTTTGTTTGTTTGTTTTGAGACAGTCTCAAGCTGTTACCCTGGGTAAAATTAGAATGTCGTGGCATCATAGGTAAAATTAGAATGTCGTGGCGTCATAGCTCACAATAACCTCCAACTCAGACTCAAGCAATCCTCTTGCCTCAGTTATTCTATTTTTAGTAGAGACAGGCTCTTGCTTTTGCTCAAGCTGGTCTCGAACTTGTGAGCTCAAGCAATCCACCCTCCTCCACCTCCCAGAGAGCTAGGATTACAGGCGTGAGCCACAACACCCAGCCCTACTACCTATTTTAAATTGATAAAATCTTTTGCAACATGTTTTCCACTCAGCATATTTGGAGATATATGAAAGAATCGGGTAAAGCAAACCATAATATCATGGAATTATGCACAACAGTTGAAATGAATGAACCAGAGCCAGGCCTGGTGGCTTATGCCTATAATCCTAGCACTCTGGGAAGCCGAAGCTATAGGATCACTTGAGCTCACGAGTTCGAGACCACCCTGAGCAAGAGTGAGACTCCATCTCTAAAAAATACCCAGGTGTGACACGTGCATGTAGTCCCAGCTACCTGTGAGACTGAGGCAGGAGGATCACTTGAGCCCCAGAGACTGAGCTTGCTGTGAGTTATGTGATGCCATGGCACTCAACTCAGGATAACAGAATGAGACTGTGTCTCAAATAAATAATAAAATAGAAAAACTAGCCAGGAGTTGTGGCAGGCACCTGTAGTCCCAGCTACTCGGGAGGATGAGGCAAAAGGATCTCTTGAGTCCATGAATTTAAGATTGCTGTGAGCTATGATGCTACAGCACTCTACCCAGGGCAACAGAGTGAGACTCTGTCTCAAAAAAAAGAAGAAAAAAGAAGGAATGAACCAGAGCTACGTGCAGCAACTCCTCTTTTAGGCAAAACCCTGGATGTTAGA